AGGATTTTCTATGTATGTCCTGTATGAGTTTTTTTCAAAGATCTTATTAGAGTAATTGAAGTTAATCTCTACTTTCTGTGCATCTGTTCACAGATTAGCTTTCCTTATTTGCTTTTGTAGAGATTACTGCAAAAAGCTATAGATTACTGAATTTATARTTCAATATATGGAGTTTTACAACAGATGCATCTGTGCAGCTCCTTCCTTCTGTCTGCAGCATCATCACCCAGGTGAGGCAGAGGATTACTGAGGCCGTTTGTAATGAAAGCACATTTCGATACCAGAGGTTGGAGAGAGTGAGAATACACGGTGGAAATTGAGAGGCTACTTGAAATCCTAGGCAGCAGCCTATTTTTTTTTTTTTTTTTTTTTTTGTAGAAGGTCTGTTTAACTTTGTACTGAGAAGTCAAAAGAGAATTTTTACAGCTGGCTTTGAATCTCTAAGTCTCTAGCTTTTGTACTGTTTAAAGCTGCTTGGCTGCAGCTGAAGACCCACTGTATTGGATTTAATCTTTTGCTGACTTTTCCAAGTCAACTTGTTAGAGACAATAATTTCATTATAGAGCTTTTAAAATGGTTAATTCTTAATAAGAATAATAGTTGTGTAAAAATGAAGTATGTATGTATACTTTACACCAAATGACAACTTTTCAGGTGCTGATAAACTGGCATTCTGGCCCTTGAGCCCAGTGACTTACTATTTTGGCCTAGTTCTCAATACGTTTTTACTCCTGCCCAACCTGCCCACCTGAAAATACACTACAAAGAAGCTTTCATCCTATTTTGTCCTGGAAGTACCTCATTTATTTCTTAGCCTGACATTTTTTACAATAGAAAAGCTGTTCACTGTGAAACTGTTCACTTCTCTGTGGCATTCAGGTAAAGATCAAATAAGGCTCTGTTAATTTACAAGGATCCACAGTGGGGCTTCACCGTGCATGAACCTTGAACTCACGTTGTGGAGGCAGTTACTCTCCTGAGTTTGATCCAAATCTAAGCTAAATATGTAGCTGATGAAGGTCTCTCCTCAACTTATCCAGCAATGGTTCAATGCTTTGAGTTTTGTCTGTTGACTTATAGTCCATTTTCTTTAGGTGTTTATTAARTGACTTCATAGAATTGCAATATCTTGTTTGAAGAAGGCGCTAAGATGAAAATAATTTTCTTGTATCTTCTAAACTTTTATCACATATATTAATCTCAGAGGTAAAGTAAGACATAATGAAGTTGTTATTAAAATCTCTCTTTAAATATGAGAATGAATGTATTATAGCAGCTTTGAACGGTATGTGAAATGTCTGTTACATGTTCCGAATGTATTTCTTTAACCCCCAGATACTTGGTTGTTATACTGTAATCTTAAAAAGAGGCTAAATGTAGTATGCACTGTGCTAAAATAATGATATGCATATTTGAAAACACTCACACAGCCCTTAGCATTAGTTAAAGTGCAGTTCCTGTAGCTTAATGAAGATTTCACAGTGCTGAGCAAACCTCACTCGCAAATTCTCCCACACGCTTGTCTGTAGCTGTGGAAAACCTGCCAAGCAGGAATACCTACTTGGCACCTCTCTGAGCAAAAATATAAGCAGAGATCCATAGGTAAAAACAACTGCCAAAAGCTCAAGCATGTGTGTCATCTACAGATTTTTTTTTAAAGATGCACTTAGCTTTAATGGGTGTAAGTCTATCAAGCGCCTGTCCCATGCTTCTGTCAGCCCTGTTCTTTGTGGAGGGACATTATCTCCCAGGGCTTTCTAACCTCAAAGGGATGATTCCTCTACTTTCCACCCACCCAGGCACTCTGATAATTGCCTACATATAGCCCTAGGGTTGGATTTTGTTTAAAAAAATCTTTTTGAGATTCCTGGAAATGGCAAAAGATTTGAGCTGCTTCTGTCTCGGGGTTTGGGTCTGTGACCTAGAGACTCGCTGGGGATGGTCATGGGGGTGATGGGGATCATTAAGTTTTACAGAGTCAGAGTCGAACTGGCTCCAAGCAAACAAGTGCTGAGTGTTGGGGTTGGGTGTCCTGAGAGATGCAGAGCTCTGAGGGCAGCAGCTGTGTGTTTATCCTGACCTTTTAACATGGACCTTTGAAGACAGACCACGCATTCTGTTTTAATGAATTCTCTACTTATAAGACAAATTTAGGATGTAGATAATGTGTCTGAGAGCACCAAATGGTAAATACCCCTTTCCCTGAATTAATAAGGCTTTACATTTTGGCTAGGGAGGGGGCACTTAACTCCCGTGGTGTTTTACTGAGTAGTTTTTCTGGAGAACCCAAGGAGACCCCAGCAGAGATAAGTAGATCACGGGAAGGTAGCTGAGGTGGAGCTAACAAGATCTCTTGAACCACCTTAAAGAAGAGTTAGGAAAGCCTGAATGCCTACCCCACTGTACCTACTTTGTAATGCTTCTAAAGTGGTTCAATAGGGCAATAATAATTAGTAAACATTTTGATTTTCCTGTCTCTGAAACTGTTAGAATCATGTATATGGGTCAATTATGCTGTGTAATGAAATGAAATGTAACCTGATCTGATACATCAGCTCAGAGATGTGTCACCCTCTGGTGCTGGTGGAGGAGGGAATGAATCATGATATTTAGCAGCTTGCAGACTGAGAACGTGTTGCAGACGTTAACCAGTGCTCATCAGTAAAATACAGATGTATAAATCAGCGTGGCTTAAAGCCGATTTGCTTAGGAAATGGGCAGTAGTGTAAATCAGTGTACAGATGCTTGTGAAGGTTTTTTGGGGGGATTTTTTTGTTATTGAGATGAAGCAATTCTGGACTGATGATACAGAAGGAAGGTAGCTAAGTTGCTTGTTCCTATTAGCCCATGATTATAGAATAGGATGTTTTCAGAATTATCCATTATTATCACTTTTCTCCTGGAGGYATAAGGCATTATTTTATGTAGCAGCTGGAGCTTCTTCCCATCTTACCTCCTCTTTATGCTTTGCGATGGAAGGAATATAGTTGCCAGAAGAAGTCTGAAGGAGCTGAAAGAATCCTGCTGGCATCCTGATCTGCTGAAGTGCTCAGTACCTTCATCCTCATTCAGCGTGTGTCAGGATGTCAGCAATATTCTAGACGTTGGAATCTTTTTCTGACTGGAACTTGGAGCCTTGTGCAGCTGAGTTGCTTTAGAGTTATAATCCTTGGAACTGAATGAAATGCAGTTCATTAAGAAATTACGYCTAATTACTTGGTCTGACTTTCTAGCGCTTGATTTTTGGTTTGCTTTATGAGAACTGTCATGTGCTAACCAACCAAATCCATGCTGAATCTTTAAGTTAGGATTCATCTATCACATATGTACATCCTAGCCTATCTGTATTATTGGTTTCCACTAGACACTTGCTGATGAGTCCGGTGCTCTCCTGGAGGCACATGTTTTTGATCTCTGGGAAGCCTGGAGGCTGAGGGAAGTCCACGAGTTCCAGAGTCACGTAGCAGACTAGTAGCCAGATCAGATGACCACTTTTTCCACATCTGTGGCTGTTAAAAAATCAGCACTGAAAAACTTGTGGAAAATGTTGTGTTCCATGCAAAGTATTATAAATGGCATTTCTGTTGCAAGATTAGCCAGAGTAGCCCTGTGATTTATGCATTAAATGTGGGAGCCAAGTTCTGGGAAGACTGAGGTTAAAAATAGGGCAGTAATAATGAAAAATTTCAAATAATATGTCTGTGGAAAGCATTATATATAATTGCAATAAGGAATGATAAAACAAATTGAAAAGATGATCAGATTTGATTTAACCATCAGGAAAAATGAACATTTGAAAGACAAGGCTCTCCCTTCTGCTTGGTCATTTCTCCTTTCAGCCTTTCCTTTCGTGCTGGAAGATGGGCTGCGCTGCATGGGGAGCTGGTGTTGGGTTCACTTGCCAGGACTGTTGGGAGCTCTGCTGGCAGAGGGGCCAGCTCCCCAGCCCGTCCCGGGGCTCGCGCTGGCCACCGACCGGCACAACAACCTCGTGTTAAAAGCAGCCAGGCCTGGGGCTGGGTGAATGCACAGGGATAATGTCCTAGTTCAGCGTTTCTCCCCAGGCAACTCATTTTTAGCAGGATTAGTGTGAATCTCCAGAAGCAGTTTAAAGCCTCTCCTTCTGGAAGGAAACCCTCAGGAAAGAAGGTTCTTCTGAGCATGGCCCTCCCTGAGTGGGCTGGGGTGGTTTTGCACTTTGTGCTCAGCCACATTGACCCTACTACTGTGTTTTTGGCTTAATTGACTTAGCACATCTGGTCTCTGTTCCCATCATCTCATTCTTGAATGGAGGTGTTCTCTCTTGAATGGAAATTCAATGAGTTTTTACATCTCTGAGGGGAAAAATGGATTATAATTTTGTTAAATATGAAGTGGAAAGTTGCAAAGGTGAAATTCTAGAGGAGAATTAGTGATTGGCTGCAGTTAATTCAACCAGCTAGGAGAACTAAGTGGGTCTTCAAATGCCAAACTGGGTATCTACTATTGGCTAATGGGGCTACAGCCATCTGCCTTGAGGGAGGTATCCAGCAGCGCTGTCCCTAATGTTTCCCTTCACCACTGGTGGGGAAGAGGAATTATTTTAGAATAAGCTGAGCATTCCCTGATCAGATCCATGGGATCCCTTGGCTTCGTAGACAAGACTTGGCTACTGTATCATGTCAAGAACACTGAAAAAATTTTCAGTATAAATAAAATAACATTCCAACCACATTCATTTACAACACAATTAAAGGACTGGKTTTTTTATGTGTTTTGTTTTTGTTTTTGCTGCTCTGTACGTGTCAAAGAACATAGACCATGCTCAGGGCAGATAGAGCAGTCTAGTCCATTTGGTGGCCTTTAACAGCATATTTATGTTGCAAGTTTGCTGATATTTGCTAACTATTCATTTGGGGAAGAGGAGATAAGGAAGAGAGCCAGAGAGAAGCAGCAGCAATGGAGATTTCCTGGTTCAAAATGTTTGTTCTTTAAAGCACAAATGTGCGTTATCTATGCAGGTAAACACTGGAGTCATTTGCGGAGAGCGACGCTGCCTGTCTCGGTTGAAAGAAGCAGAAAGTGGCTGTGAGGAGGCTCTGCAGCCAGATCTTCACACAACAGAATTCCCTGCTGTTGCAGGGCAGCAAGGTGAGCTGTGCTTTGGTTTGGGGGTTGTTTGCTGTTTTGTTTGTTTTCAAACTCAATTGTCTAGCATGAAAGAAGGCGGGAAGGGAAGGAGTATGTGAAGTAAGTCTTGGTTGCCTTCAGCATTGCAGCTGCTGAAAGATTTTGGTAAGTATATAGAAGTGTTGGTGCTTTTCACGCAAGGAGGAATTGCTCACGCTGTGGACAAGACATCCTGATGGGATGCATATGTTAAAAAAAAAAAAAAAAAAAAAAAAAAAAATCAGATCAAGGCATATCATAATATAGTTAACTTGAACACCAAATTTCCATGAGAATTTATGGGGCCCTGATGAAGCCCAGATTAGAACTTGTAGATCTGGGATAAGTATATAGGGGAACATTTTCCAGAAGCTCCCATTACGACTTCTTTTGTGTTGTTACTACATAGGTTGTTCACATTTATTTTAAGAGATCATATTTGCATCAATTAGTGACAGATTTTTTTTTCTCCAAAGATTTACCTAACAAAATCATAGTTGGGGGGGGAACAGTGGGCAAAAGCAATGTCATAACTGCTGCCTACTGTTCGAGTGTGAACCTGATGCATTCATTGCTAATGTATGGGTGTAATTTGAACAAATGGATCATCTGTTCTGAAATCTGATTTGGTTATCTGCTCCAAAGTAATTTTAGGGCAGTTCAAGATAAATTTCCATGGTGACCTTGCCATCCTGAACTGTTTATGGATTTTTACAACTATTTGCTGAATGGCTTCTAGACTGTGGTTCTCGGWTTCACTATAGTTTCTTAATTTCTTCCTATTTATGATTCTTTCCTGTGTAGCCTTTGCTGATGTAGATCATTGTTTTTGCAAAGCATGTAGGCATTAAAGTGCTTTATGCCACAGAAGTATTTCTGAAACTGATGCATATAATCACTCTCCTTTGTTAAAGGGAAATTGGGAGGGGAAAAGTTAAGGGGGGGAAAAAAAAAGCCCACAAGTCCAACTTTGGATGATAATGACTAAAATGTTAGAGCTCAGCAGTGTAATGGAAGGTGTTTGCTCTGGAGCCTAAACCAGTAACCAGAAGAGCTGGGGCACTAATGTTTGTTTATAATTTGCTTGAGAGAAGCAGGAGCAAGAGTAAAGAAATTATAGAAGTAGCCAGTGAAATGCTGGCAGTGAAACTATGTGGAGAGATCTTAGAGAAAGATGGAGTGAGCGAGCACTTGTGTTTGGTAAAGTGATGGCCTGGAGTTGTGACCAAAGAACATTTACCTCATTGTTTCATTTCTATTGTGTTTGAGGAAGGGTTTCCTGTGCCAAATTTCTTGAATATTGCACTGTTGTTCTAGTGCCTATTCAATAAAGCCTATGCTCCCCAAAAGTGCTGGGTTATTGCACATGTGCTGTTGATTTCTGGAGATAGAACAGAGCTTGGCAAAAGCATTCGATATATTGCCTATGTGCCCTGTGAGGGTATAGCATGTCTGTAGTCAGTCTAGGGTTTTTGCCAGGAAAAGGCTACCTCATGTCTGGAAACCTCAGACAAATTCCTTACGATTCATCCAGATGAGATTAGAATGGGGAGGAAAAAAATGTAAATTCCTAGGAAAATAAGACTGTAGAAGACCTGAAGAAGTTACCTGGTGTGCTTCGTGAACTGAAAATGATATGGGTATGCTTGTGGCATTCCTCATTAATGTTTATCTGGCCTGTTCTGAAAAGAGCTCCAGGGAAGCTCTAGAACCTCCCTAGGCAGTTCATTTCTGTGTTCCATTGTCCTTAATTTAGGTTGTGTGGGTGTTCATGGTGGTGGTGTGTTCCCCCCCACACCTCCCCCCCCCGCCAAAGCCTAAGTCTAAGCAATGTGACCCCTCCAAAGGTCACATTTCCCAAAACTTTAGTCTAAGTACTCCCAAAATTCTCTCTGCACTTGGTCCAGACCTATCTGTCTTGAAGCTCCACACACAGAAGAGATGCAATAACGTAGCTGAAGCTGATGCTAARCCTCATACTGATGCTAAAAGAAGCAGTGGTTGTGGTGGGGAAAGCAACAACCCTGCTTTGTATAGGACTTGTTTATGCTTCAGCTATCACTTTTGTTTTTTTTCCGCCTTCCTGCAAAGCAACATCATTGACTCTTGTTCAGATTGGCAGCTGTTAACCCTTCTGTCTTCCAAAAAAGTCCTGCAGGCTTTTCCTCCACTCTGTATTACTCGCATTTAATAAGCACAATCTCTGCATCATCAATGACATTGATTTGAAGAGAGTCATATCTGGGACCATCCTTTGTGAAACCCCTTTGATGCATCTCCCGACTATGACACATGTGGGGAGCTCATCTGCAGTTCTATTTTTGCTTCTATCATACASTTTAGTCTAGAATACAGTTCCCTGATTTGCACATGAGAACGTCAAGGCAGCACTAAGTACCTTAAAAACTCGGAGCTTTTTTGTTTAGTTATAGATAGAAAGTAGATGGGTTTGATGTAATTTGTTTTGGACAAATCCGTGTTTGCTGCTCATAATCTCCCTGTTATATTCCAGGTGATTACAAAAGGCTTGTTTGTTCCAGAATTTTTTCCAGGAAACTGCAGTTAAGCTGCCTAGCCTATAATTTTCTTGCTCCTCAATTTATGGCTCTTGATAATAGGCATTAACTCTCTCCTTTTCTGCTTTTCAAGGGTCTTGCCTGTCACCCTGCAAGTTCTTAGATACCTGCTAATCACTGCTTCAGCCAGTTGCCTAGGTAAAAATGCATGTGGGGTGTCCATAGGATTGCATTTAAAAAAAAATGACTCTAACCAAATTATCTTCCTAAGGGAAAAGAAAATGCTGATAACTGACTATATGGTTGAGTTCAGGCATCTTGCAATTTTTCCAGTCCCAATCTTGAAGTGGAATGGGATATGTAGAAAAATGGAGAGTACAAATCTCTGTCCTAGGAATAAACTGCTTTCTCTCTTTGTCTTTTGCAGACCATCTTGTCGTCTTTAATAGCTTGCTTTGTATTTCACTAGTTGCCATGGTAGCTAATAATTTATTATTGAGCTAAGTAATAATTGCTTTATAATTACAAATCCAAGCAACTTGCTGGCACATCTATATGAACACTTATGCAGTATTTCCTTCCACATTGATCTTCCTCCCTACTTGATCTTTTTGAATTTGTGAATTGTGATTTATCTCGCCTCTTAGTACTAAGAAAAATTAAACAAAAGCATTCATGTGGTAATCTCTTTTTGAATTCAGCTGGTAGAAAGCCTGTCTGATGGGCATAGCACTAAATATACCTCTCTGAATGCCTTGGTATAATTCCAGGAGAAAAGTAAATTCCGTTGTGCAACTTGAATATTTCCCCTGCCTTACGTTAGTACTGATAAATCTGTGTGTGTGTGTGTGTGTGTGTGTGTGTGTTCATGTATAAAAAGAACTAATGGAAGGTTGCTTATGAGCAATGACTTTCTTCTAAGGGATATAAATATTATTTCAAATGGGGCCTTACCTTGAATTGACTCTGACAAAAATTGGGCCAATGATTTGTTTATGGATGGCTAATTTACAGTAAGGAAAGCTTGAGAATTTGGTTTCCTGTTCAAGTCAAAYTTACTGCTTATCAGCCACAGCTTCTGCCATACTGTTAGACTCTTTGGTTTTAAATCGGACTGTTTCTCAGTAAATAAGTGTACTCATTTTCATGATTGATGTCTCTGTCTTGAGGATGTGATACAGATCACATACTAATGCAGCCAATGCATTTGAACTGTTTTCATGGGGTGGTTGGAATACTATTGGCATACTTGCCAATATTATTGGGATAATTTTGGCACAGTTGGSATACTATCTGTTCCTTATGGTTACTCATTTGAAGATTAATTTGGATATATGATAGACTGCACTTTGCTGGGTGATGTCAGTCCTATAAGTCTTATAAGCTCTGTAAGAGGGAAAAGGAAGGAAAAGTAGTTTAGCAAACCGTTCAGGAATTAGAAATCTGGAAGAACTGCCCTGTTATAATAAAAGCAAAACCAGTGACCATGGATTTTATTATCTTTTTCCAAATGCTGGATTTTTACTTTTCTATCTGTAGTAGGAGAATGAAAACATTTTGGTGTGGGTTTTTTGKTGAATCTGATGGAAGATCTTCCCGGTATAGGTCTTTTGAATGTGTCTGAGTTTACAGCTAAATAATGTTCAACTCCCAAGGTCCTTTCCAACCTTAACCATTCTGTGAAAACTTCATGATGAGTTTTTAGTACTACTTGACAGAGAAAGTAAGTGAACATTTTCCAGGGAGGTGATAGCATATGGATAGACAAATATTGCTGAGAAGGAAATTTTGAAAAATATGTGCACACAGGAAACGGAGAGCACTGGGACAGGTCACCAGGAGAGATTTAAACATCTCTCTGCTTGCAGAAATTCAAAAGCTCCCTGCAAATGGTCCTGGACAACGTGCTCTAGGTGTCCCTGCCTGAGCAAAGGGGTTGGACTAGATGATCTCCAATGGTCCCTTCTAACTTCAACCATTCTGTGATTCTGTGAATAGAGATCTGCCTTCACAGCTCCATCCATTAAATCAGCCAGATAAAAAACAAGCTAAACAGCTGCATTTTATTAGCTCATTCTTCCCATGCTTTCTTCTCTATTGGCTGTGAAGTATAGTTTAATCTTGTTCTATTTTAATTTTGCTGTTAATGCATTTGATTGGAAAAATGTTCTTGTAACAGCAATAAAAAAGTATGCAACATAAGCAGCATAAATGACATGTAAGCTTATTCTATGAGGTTTGGTAAATTGAAAATAAACAAATTAATTATCTTGCAATTAGTGTAGCTTGTATGTGTAAATTGCTTCCTAGCAAGCTCAGCAACTTGACTCAACCAGACTTTGGGCACTACGTTGCATTTTAGTGTCTTTTAAAGGCTTGTTAAAGGTCTTTCCCTGCTGAGTCTCTTCTGACT